CTTCAGTTCAGACTGTGTTAGAACAACAAGGAAGATTCGGTGGTTTCAACTGAGGAAAGTACTAGGGAGGTAGGAGCTGGGAACCAGTTGGTTGTGACAGATCTTGGGAGCAGGCCAAAGAGACAGTGAGGTAAGCTCGAGCACAGCTGCCCTTGACTAGGGGCTTGGACTGGAGCCTCACACTGGACGATGTCTGGGAATTAAATTTTGCAAGTGTTTTCTTCCCACAGACACATCTTCATCTCTTTGAAAATTCTAGGGAGGAAAAGAAGGAAGGAGTGGGGGCTTCCCTGGTGGCGCAGTGGTTGTGAGTCCGCCTGCCGATGCAGGGGACGCGGGTTCGTGCCCCGGGCCGGGAGGATCCCACGTGCCGCGGAGTGGCTGGGCCCGTGAGCCATGGCCGCTGAGCCTACGCGTCCGGAGCCTGCGCTCCGCGACGGGAGAGGCCACAGCAGTGAGAGGCCCGCGTACCGCAAAAAAAAAAAAAAAAAAAAAAAAAAAGAAAAGAAAAAAAGAAGAAGGAATGAGTAAAGGAAGGAGGCATATAGCTAGTGGCAGAGCCCAAAATAATGGTCGCGGGAGTAAGGGAAGGAACTTATGATACAGCTGTCTGTAAATGCCGTGTTTCATGCTAGAGCTGGGGCCGTGCAAAGTAATGGAAAACACAGAGTCTAATGTATTGGTGACCTTTAGACCTTATACCATTTTCTGAGCTACATGTGTGCCCCATAGGAATTGGCTCTTTTTTTCCTTTTTTAAAAATTTCTTACTTCTTTCTTCTTTTTTCTTTTTTAGCATATAAACCCAAGGTCCCTGTTCAGAGGGGAGAGGTTGGGAACATTGAGCTGTTGGCTTGTTTCACTCTCTAGAGGATTTGCTTGCAAGCAGCAGTGAATGGATCACTGTGAGAACACAATGATATTTTCATCTGTGAACTGAGCTATTCTATTCTTTTCCTGTTCCTTTTAGGGAGAGGAAAATTGTTCCTAGTTATTTTGGTCTCAAGTTTTTCAGAACTTCCATTACAAACCATAAAGCAAGTTTGACTTCTGGGAAATTCTATTCCAATTAATAATTTAAAATGTATTTATATGATGAGGTATGGATTTTCTAGAGGTTATCTTTTTATAATCTATTTTAGAAAATAGATTTTGGACTTCCCTGGTGGCGCAGTGGTTAAGAATCCGCCTGCCAATGCAGGGGACACGGGTTTGACCCCTGGTCTGGGAAGATCCCACATGCCGCGGAGCAACTAAGTCCGTGAGCCACAACTACTGAGCCTGTGTGCCTAGAGCCCACGAGCCACAACTACTGAAGCCTGCGTGCCTGGAGCCCGTGCTCTACAACAAGAGAAGCCACCGCAATGAGAAGCCCACGCACCGCAAGGAAGAGTAGCCCCCGCTCGCCGCAACTGGAGAAAGCCCGCACGCAGCAACGAAGACCCAACGCAGCCTAAATAAATAAATAAATAAATTTTTAAAAAGTGGGAAAGAAACAGAGGTTTGTAAGGAGAAAAGTGAATGTGAAAAGTAAATGTAATGTACAGCTGATTCACTTTGTTATACAGCAGAAGGTAACACACCATTGTAAAGCAATTATACTCCAATAAAGATGTTTAAAAAAGATGACAAAAGTAATGTAAAATGATTACTAGCAGTAATAATGTTTTATAACCCTTTTCTAAACCAATGGCTTTCACATCTTTTTCTTACTGCCACCAAGAGTATATGCATACTTAGACATATTTGTGTACGTATGTATATATAGAGAAATAACACTGTTTCATAAGACACTACACATTATACACTAAAGATTTTTCTTTTTTATTCTTTCATTTTACAAAATGCTGGTCATGTATCACTAAACTGATATCACGACTTACTAAATGAGTGGCAACCTGCAGTTTAAAAAAATACTACTCTCATGGGCATATTAGCAGTTTCTTCACTAATCTTTAGTCCAGAAAATAACCTAAAAGCAATTTTATTTTCTAATACCAGACTTCTTGTGTTCATAGGATCTACCCTTGAGACGTTCCTTGGGAGTGTCTCCTTCATTTTCACCTTGAAGTTACGGACGGAAGTCCACGAAGATATTACAGTGGAAGGTCAGAGTCATAGTGTTCCTTCATGGCTTCTGACATCGGCCCTAGATTCTGAACATCTCCTCTCCCCTGCCCCAGAAATACTTTATAAGGTGAAGCCTTTATAAGAACTGGCAGGAAATTTATCCCACTTGACTCAGGTGACACCTGCAGAGATTGTCATTGGACTAGAAATGGAAAGTGATCAAAAAATAAGGACAGGTTAAATACCTAAGGCATTTCATAAAATAAAATACGACACAGCTTTGAAAAAAAGAACGTCAATCTGTGTGTAACGAACCAATATTCAAGGTATAGTTTTAGGTTAAAAAGAGTAAGTTAAGCACACTGTGTGTAGTAGACTTCCCTGTGTTTTTATAAGGGGGACATATGTGCTTATATGTGCATAGAATATTTCTGGAAATTTCCACAAGATATTAGTAATGGGAAATGCCTCTAAGGAAGAGAAATAGAGGACTGGGAATCTGGGATGATAGAGATTTAATATTTTTGCCTACCTTTTCATATTGTTTGAAATTTTTATTTTGTGTATATATACATATTACTTTTTCAATTAAAAAAATAACTTATTGGGCTTCCCTGGTGGCGCAGTGGTTGAGAGTCCGCCTGCCGATGCAGGGGACACGGGTTCGTGCCCCGGTCCGGGAGGATCCCACATGCCGCGCAGCAGCTGGGCCCGTGAGCCATGGCCGCTGAGCCTGCACGTCCGGAGCCTGTGCTCCGCAGCGGGAGAGGCCACAGCAGTGAGAGGCCCGCATACCGCAAAAAAAAAAAAAAATAAAAAAAATAATAACTTATTTTAGGGAATTCCCTGGCAGTCTAGTGGTTAGGATTTGGTGCTTTCACTGCCAGGGTCCTGGAACTAAGATCCCACATGCTGTACAGCATGGACCAAAAAAAAAAAAAAAAACTAATTAAAAAAATATGTTGGAGGAAGTAAATACTCACAAACTCATTAAGATGAAGGGAGTTTTCCTTGTGAACAGTCCTAGAAATAGATATTTAGTACAGCACCAAAATTCATTATCTCTTTCATTTACATATATTATATAATTTACAAAGAGTTTCATATCCATTGCCTGACTTAGCGCTCATAACAACCTTTTGAAATAGGTAGGACAGTTACTAGAAGCCACAATTTACAAACTGGAAAAAAACAAAAGGGCTAAAGGAGTTAAAAATCTAGAGCATAGTTTAAGGAAAGAAGTTTGGAGTCATGTACATGATTATGATATAGTAGAAACTTGAAATTTTACAGTATTATGAGTTCCCAAGTCGTTTATAAATGGCAGTATTTTTAAAGCCTTCAGCAATATTACTTGCAAGGTTGATCTCTTAACTAAGAAACTCATGCATGAAGGAGGAAGGAGGCAGGAAAAAAAAAAGCTACTGAAACTCTTTGTGTAAAATATGCCCTATAACAGAGCATAAATTTTCAACCAGTCAGCTAATGACTGGCTGAAAATTAACATTAAAGAAGTTGCATTCAAAACTTCGCCATATAGAATTTTACCTTTGAATTAGAACAAATCTGAAATAATTACCTAACTGGAAGAGAGATATTACAAATCATCACTTACTAAATCTTGAATAATACCCTAAAGGCTTATGCTTATGGTCATTATATCTCCCAGAGTCCCAGATAAGCCAAATTTACACCTCCAGTCCCCGGGTAATTATTCATAGCAGCCCTTTCATTCTCAAGGGTATCCTAGTTTGGGGATAAATGATATATCCACCTTATTAAATATCACACTCTAGTTTCATACACCTTTAAGATCCTCATGTTCTAGGGTTAGGGCTTCATCTCAAAACTAAGAAGTACCCTCATTCATGCAAAATCTGAAGAACCCATGTTCAGATTTTAGCAGCATGTATGACTCTCAGATAAAAAAGAGTAGTTTCCAAAGCAACTGTGGGCTTTACTAAAGAGATTAAAATAAGAAGGAAGTCTCAGAGTCTGATTTGGAATTTGGGGTTTGTAGGGGTTTAAAGGCAAATGTGAACCAAGTTTGGCTTGGTGAGACTGAGGTGGAAGACAAATAACTGATTCCACTTAGCAGACTTCTGAACAGAGAGTTCAAAAAGTGCATCCCCTCCAGGAGCACTTCATTCATGAGTTTGTTTATTTATTAATAGTTGGAGCATGTTCTAAGCACTGCCTCAGTTTTGTCAGTAGTTTTGGGGACGTTATGCTCCATTTCCAGCACTTTGCAGGATTGTGATGCTATACATGAGGTTTTGTTTAAACCAGCCTCTGAATTCTTTCCTGCTTAGCGCTCTTTAGAATTTCCATAATTTGTAATTACTCTATTCACTAATTACAAAGATTATTCCCATGGTCCAGGTAGGTTAAATCGTTGCTGTGATTTTTTTTTTTTTTTTCATGTTGCAAGTGTATTTCTTCCTTAGAACAAGCAGATGAATTGTAGCCAAGCTGGAGATCATGGTAACAGCACCTTTTACTCAGCGGTAAGCAGACCATCTATCCAGAGTATGTAATTACTGAAAGATTAAGGCATTAAGATGTGTTTACTTGCGACATTCTCTAAAGCACTCGGCATTTAAATTGAAGTTATTTAGTATGCGATTACTTGAGGTTCCTGTGTAAAATACTAAAGAATATTTTAATCATTCTTCTATGTTTACATTTACACTTTTAACAAAATCTTTTCTGAACATATTTAACACGCGGGTACACAGATTCTCTCTCTGACGGTGTTCAGACCTGGTTCTGAATCTGACAATTTGACTATTTTCTTGTTGTTTCTGTAGCTGTTTACATATGTCTTCTCTTTTATTTCTCCCCTTTCTTTACTTTCTTAGAAATCTTTATTTCCTATCAATTACTCACCAGATTGTTCACAAAAGGAATCTTGTGGAGTTTTCTTTAGTTCTAATCGTCACTGGTTGAGTGATTACTGTCACTGCCTTTACTGTCACTATCACTGTCACTACCACCTCCATTGTTGTCGCCGTTACCAGACTTGCTCTTGCTGTCACTCTCATCACCACTGTCAGACGCACTGTCACTGCTGTCACTATCACTGCTGTTGCTGTCACTCCTGTCGCTGCTGTCACTATCACTGCTGTCACTGCTGTCACTTTCGCTGCTGTCACTATCACTGCTGTCACTGCTGTCACTGTCACTACTGTCACTGCTATCACTACTATCTGATTTGCTGTCACTACTGTCACTGCTGTCTGACTTGCTGTCACTGCTGTTACTATTGTCACTGTCTGATTTACTGTCACTATCGCTGCTGTCACTACTGTCACTGTCTGATTTACTGTCACTGTCACTGCTGTCACTACTGTCTGATTTGCTGTCACCACTCTCACTGCTATCACTACTGTCACTGCTGTCACTGCTATCACTACTGTCACTACTGTCACTGCTGTCACTGCTGTCACTACTGTCACTATCACTACTGTCACTGCTATCACTACTATCTGATTTGCTGTCACTGCTGTCACTACTGTCTGATTTGCTGTCACTACTGTCACTGCTGTCTGACTTGCTGTCACTGCTGTTACTATTGTCACTGTCTGATTTACTGTCACTATCACTGCTGTCACTACTGTCACTGTCTGATTTACTGTCACTGTCACTGCTGTCACTACTATCTGATTTGCTGTCACCACTGTCACTGCTATCACTACTGTCACTGCTGTCACTGCTGTCACTATCACTATCACTACTGTCTGATTTGCTGTCACTACTGTCACTGCTGTCTGACTTGCTGTCACTGCTGTTACTACTGTCACTGTCTGATTTACTGTCACTGTCACTGCTGCCACTGCTGTCACTGCTGTCACTACTGTCACTGCTATCACTGCTGTCACTACTGTCACTGCTTTCACTACTGTCACTGTTATCACTGCTGTCACTACTGTCGCTGCTTTCACTACTGTCACTACTGTCACTGCTGTCACTGCTGTCAGACTTGCTGCCACTACTGCTGTCACTACTGTCACTGCTATCACTACTGTCGCTGCTTTCACTACTGTCACTACTGTCACTGCTGTCACTGCTGTCAGACTTGCTGCCACTACTGCTGTCACTACTGTCACTGCTATCACTACTGTCGCTGCTATCACTACTGTCACTGCTGTCAGACTTGCTGCCACTACTGCTGTCACTGCTGTCACTGCTATCACTACTGTCACTACTGTCACTGCTGTCACTGCTATCACTGTTGTCACTGCTGTCAGACTTGCTGCCACTACTGCTGTCACTACTGTCACTGCTATCACTACTGTCGCTGCTATCACTACTGTCACTGCTGTCAGACTTGCTGCCACTACTGCTGTCACTGCTGTCACTGCTATCACTACTGTCACTACTGTCACTGCTGTCACTGCTATCACTGTTGTCACTGCTGTCAGACTTGCTGCCACTACTGCTGTCACTACTGTCACTGCTATCACTACTGTCGCTGCTATCACTACTGTCACTGCTGTCAGACTTGCTGCCACTACTGCTGTCACTGCTGTCACTGCTGTCACTGCTGTCACTGCTGTCAGACTTGCTGCCACTACTGCTGTCACTGCTGTCACTGCTGTCACTGCTGTCTGATTTTTCTTTGGTGCTGCCTGATTTTCCATTCTTATCACTCCCATTGTCACCATTGCCATCACTACCACTATCATTAGCACCTGATGTGTTATCACTATCACCTTCCCCTCCTTTTGAGTCACTGCCATTGCCATTATCCCTTGATTCATCAGAGTTATAAGAAGCATCTCCTCGGCTACTGTGGTTGTTGTCACCTTCAGAAGTGGTATCATCACTGCCATTAGACTCATCACTGCTGTTGGGATCATCTCCTTGCACGGATTCATCACCAAACTCAGAGCTGTCATAGCCATCACTGTTACTGTCACTACGTGTTTTGCTGGGTCCAAACTTATCTTGAGGTTCTAATTTCTGGCCAGGTCCCTGCATGACATCAACCTCTTCTTGTGCCTTGACATTTCCTTTGTCTACAATTATTCCATGTGGGCCTTTACTCTCTTTATCTTCATTCATTTTCCCAGCTTCTTTGGTAATATTGTTTCTGTTGCCGCTGCTGGGACATTCCATTTCTATTCCCTATGGAAAGATGGAGGAAAGAATGATTAATTCGTGAATGTTATTCCACAAAATTGCATTGGTCTGAGGAAGACTGACTGGGGAAAGTGGCCATAGAACAGGAGTCCAGCTTCCAGTACTTCAGAAACATCTGTCTGTGAAAACGTGCTTTATTCAGTACTCGAAAGTACTCTGGTGTTTAGATTATAGACCATCCCATTTGTGTTTTTACCCAGTAAGAGCTTTCGTAAACAGTTACGTGCTGCATTAATTATTTAGCATAAGACTTTTGAAGAATTATAACCAAATTTTCAGAGATTTCTGCTTTTTTAAATTGTTCTATAGCAAAGTCTAGTACGGACTCTAGCTTTCCCATCAAATATTCAAGTAATTTAGAGGCAAAAATACATGACTATTTGTCATGATTTATTTTCACGCTACCATCATGGAAGGAGGGGGAGAATTTAAACTGCCATTGAAAGAAACCAGCTTCACAAACTAACCTTAACTTGGTTCTTCCCAATAGCAGGTGGCTCTAATTTTTCAGTGATTCCATTTTCCACAGCTTTGCTTTCTCTGTGATTGGGTTTTTGAGTGTCCTCTATTTTTTGGCTACCATTGTCTCCTGAAATACCGTCAAAATCATCCTCACTCTTGGAGGTGTTGTGTCCATCAATGGCGTGGGTGTCTTCTTGGTCCGCAGGGTCATCAGCTTCACCACTAATTGAATTTTGACCTAAGCTATTGTCATCGTCATCTTCTGTTTCATGAGGTTGACCCTCTTGGCCCTTGCTGTTATCAGGGCCTTTTTCTTCATTCCCTGTTTCTTCACCTTCATCATCACCAGAGCCCTTGTCTTCATTTTCATCTACTCCATTCCCACTAGGACTTCCATCAGAATTGTCCAAGGCGACATCTTCTCTATTGCTATCTCCACTTTCCCCTGGTGTTACCCCTGTCTCCTCATTCCCGTTGCTCTCGCCTTCTCTCTGAGGTGTTTCTTCACTTGTATCACCCCCATTTCTACAGAAATTCCCACTTATTTCTTCCTCATGACCTGTACCTTTATTGCTTCCAGCTACTTGATGTCCATCTTCTTGGACAACAGTGGCATCTTCACTCTGACTTGCATTTCCAACACCCCCATTTTTGGAATTGTTCTCAGCAATCCCATTAATATTGCTCCCATTTGCTGTTTCAGCACTGTCGATGATGCCTACTTGTCCCCTGATGCCATTTGCTGTGGTGCTGTCTTCTTGATGGAGCCCAACATGACCATATGTTTCTGGTTTTCCTGTGCCCCCTTTCAGATCCTCAGTATTCCCCTCTTCATTTGCTAACATGGAATGTGCAGAAGAACTTTTCTCTCCCACTTCTGCCCCCTCAGAACCATTTCTCTCTCCTTTGTAACCATCTTTGGTGTACTGTTGCCTCCCTCTTTCATTTTCATGCAGGAGGACACCACTTTCTTTGGTGGTATCATTGGCATTTAACTCATCCTGGAAAAGAGAAACAATGCAAAATAAATTGTGGATACCATCTTAAAGTAAAGCAAACTGAAAAGATGAGCATCAATTTTTTGGAAGTTAATGGAATCTAAAAACAACTTAGAAACACATTTTACATCCTATACCTGTATTGGCACTTTCAATTTTGCTAGAAGATTTAAATTCACAGATTTGTCAACAGCATGTCTCTCCAATGGCTTGATTTGAGGAACCTACCAAAGTGAAAATACTGGAAATTGAAAACATTCTTATTTTGTGCATATGTGTGCCCACACATCCACACACACACACACACGCACACGCACACGCGCGCACACGCGCACACACACACACACACACACACACACACATTTTTCTCCAAATGAAGAAAAGAAGATATAACACAAAGGTCAAAGTATGAGCTAACTGGGTAGAAAAGAGAAGTGGCTTGTTATAGGGCTTATGTAGAATTTAAACTTGGCAGTATTCCCAATTTTATTGACGTATTAACCAGATCACTTAACTGTAGGAAGGGAATAGTCTTTTATAAAAATGAAGAGAGACCTTTGATATTTCTGTACGATGCTTCTTGCAACAGCACCAGACCCACATTAAGTATAATCCTGGCCAAAACCCCTAAGAAAATAGTAGGTCTGACCAGAGCCAGGGAGGAAGCAAAGGCAAGTAGGTTGCTACTTCTGTGCCCTTCAGGAGCACAATGAAAACAGTTGAGAAAATTCTCAACTACAGAAATACCAAAGTATTTGGATTATGGAAACATATCAAAATGTTAACCATAGCAGCTGGCTAATAAAATTACAAATGGTTTAATTTTCCTAATTTTTCTTTGTTGGTATTTATCTGTATATTCCAAATTTAACTTTCTGAGTGAAACATCAGTTTTCCCTTTGTTTAAAAAAAACGTGATTTTTTCCCCTACTTTTCTTTCTTGAAATCTTCCTAAACAATACAGGCTTTGTTGATATTAGAATGAAACTCATAGGGCGTTAGCAAAGATGGACAGTCTCCATGACTTCTAGGCATTAAATGTAAATGAATCTGAATGAATTTTAAAAGAAATAATCCTTCCAATAAGACAGGAGTTTCAATTAGAACGGGAGCATGAATTGGCGTGCCTATATGGTTTTGATGAGACCCCAAATATATCTTGTAAAGTCTTTCATGTAAATCTAAAAGTTTAGACTCAGCTGATTGACCAGGTCTCAAGGAAAAAAAAAAAAAAACGAACATAT